CCCCCCCCCCCACGAAGTGCTCAGAACCTTTCACCAGGAGCATTTTGGGGTGAGTGCTGTTATGCATCATAAAAAAAATATTCCTGTTCATACTTACTCAGCCTTTTGTGGTTTTCTCCATTTTATGACAAAAAATCTTTTTGATAACTCTGAAGTGGTTAAGTATATACCATAAAATTCACCCACTGGAATGGTATAATTCATGATTTTTCGTAAGTTTATTACCAAGTTGGACAATAAGGTGGTGAAAAAAATCTCTCATGTTTCTGAGCAGACCCTCATCTGCTCAGGAAGACAGGCCTGGTTGTTTGTTTAATTCCAGTATATTTAACATATGGTATTATATTAGTTCGAGGTATACAATGTAGGGATTCAACAATTCTCTACTCCGTGCTCATCGTGGTAAATGTGCTCTTAATCTCCTTTACCTATTTCCCCCACCCCCCACCTGCTGCCCCTCTGGCAGCTATCAGTTCTCTGTGGTTACAAGTCTGTTTCTTTCTCTTTTTTCTTTGTTCATTTGTTTCTTAAATTCCACATATGAGTGAAATCCTAGAGTATTTGTCTTTCTTTTATTTTGCTTAGCATTATACTCTCTAGATCCATCCATGCTGTTGCCAATGGCAAGATTTCTTTCTTTTTATGGCTGAGTAATATTCCATTGTGCATATGTACATCTTCTTTATCCATTCATCAGTCGATGGACACTTAGGTTGCTTCCAAATCTTGGCTACTGTAAATAATGCTGCAATAGACATAGAGATACATACATCTTTTTGAATTAGTGTTTTTGTATTCTTTGGGTAAATAGTAGTAGAATTACTGGGGGTCATGTGGTAATTCTACTTTTAATTTCTTAAAAATCTTTATTTTTGAGAGAGAGAGCGCACAAGCAAAGAAGGGTAAGAGAGAGAGAGAGAGAGAGAGAGAGAGAGAGAGATACAGAATCTGAAGCAGGCTCCAGGCTCTGGGCTGACAGCACAGAACCCGATGTGGGACTCAAACTCATGAACTGTGAGATCATGACCTGAGCCGAAGTTGGACGCTTAATGGACTGAGCCACCCAGGCGCCTAGTTTTAATTTTTTGAGGAAGGCTGGAGAAGAATTTTAAACATACAGAATAGTTGAAGAACTGTATAGCAAGCAGCCATGTACCCACACTTAAATTCTATACCTGCTATTTTGTTATATGTGCTTTTTCATGATTTACTCCCATCCCTTCATCTGTCAATCAAATTGTGTGTTTTTTTTTTTTGAAACAAGTGTTTTTAATATGGAATTTTTTTATTGAGGTGAAATTCACGTAACATACCGTTAACCGTTGCAGTGTATGCTTTGGTGCTGTGTACTCACAATGTTGTACGATCACCCGCTCTCCTCTAGTTTTAAAATATTTCATCACCCATAAAAGCATCCTGCTGTACCCCCTTAAGTAATCACTCCCCGCTAACCCTAACTGCCTTCCCTGGTAAGCTGATATGCTTTCTGTCTCTATGGATTTGCCTGTTCTGGATGTATCGTATAAAAGGAATAATACACCTTTTGTGCCTACCTTTCACTCAGCAGGATGTTTTTATTTTTCTCAATTTTATAATTTTGAGAGAGAAGAGAGTGCGGTGTGGGGGGAAGGGCACAAAGAGAGGGGGAGAGAGAATCTTAAGCAGGCTCCACCCCCCCCCCCAAAAAGGGGTCCGATCCCGTGACTGTGAGGTCATGAGGACCTGAGCTGAAATCAAGAGTCAGATGCTTAACCAACTGAGCCACCCAGGCAGCAGAATGCTTTTAAGGTTCATCCAGGCTGGAGCACACATCAGCACGACCTCTTTCTTATGGCTGATAACAATTCCATGGATATGCCACAACCTGCTTATTCATTCTTCTATGGATGTATATCTGGGTTGTTTCCATCTTTTGGCCCTAACAGATAAGACTACTATAAATGCTCATGCGTAAGTTTCTGTGTGGACATGTGTTTTCATTTCTCTTGGGTGTATGCCTTAGAAAGTGCTAGGCTCTATGATAATTCTATGTTTAACTTTTGGAGGAATTGCCGAACTGTTTCCATGGTGGCTGCACCAATTTACATTTCCACCCGCGGTGCCTGAGGGTTCCGGTTCACCCACGTCCTCACTGACACTTCTTACTTCAGCCTTTTTTTTTTTTTTTAATTTTTTTCAACGTTTATTTATTTTTGGGACAGAGAGAGACAGAGCATGAACGGGGGAGGGGCAGAGAGAGAGGGAGACACAGAATCGGAAACAGGCTCCAGGCTCTGAGCCGTCAGCCCAGAGCCTGACGCGGGGCTCGAACTCACGGACCGCGAGATCGTGACCTGGCTGAAGTCGGACGCTTAACTGACTGCGCCACCCAGGCGCCCCACTTCAGCCTTTTTGATGACTGCCATGCTAGTGGGTGTGAAGGAGTATCTCACCATGGCTTTGATTTGCATTTCTGTAATGACCGATGATGTTGAACATCTTTTCGTGTGCTTATTGGCCATTTGTATATTTTCTTTGGAGAAATGTCTGTTCAAGTTCTTTGCCCATTTTTAAAATTATTTTAAGATTTTCGTTTTTTAAAAGTTCATTTATTTTGAGAGAGAGAGAGTGAGCAGGTGCACAAGCCGGGGGGTTGGGGGTGGGAAGCAGAGAGGAGGAGAGACAGAATCCCAAGCAGGCTCTGCACCATCAGTGCAAAGCCCGATGCGGGGTTCGAACTCAAAAACTGGGATTGTGACCTGAGTAGAGATCAAGAGTAGGATGCTTAACGGACTGAGCCACCTAGGCACCCCTTTAAGATTTTAAAGTCATCTCCACACCCAGCGCAGGGCTCAAACTCACAACCCTGAGATCAAGAGTTGGCTGCTCTACCAACTGAGCCAGCCAGGTGCCCCACTTTGCCCATTTTTTAATTGGATTGTTTGTCTTTTCATCAGTTCAATCTAAAAGTATCATTGCTTTGTTTTACGTAGTTGGGATCAAACACCGATGCTAATTTTATATCTGGCTTTTCTTTTTGCGCAACATGTAACATTAGTGTTTTCTAGGACTAAAGACTCTTGAAAGAGGGGAAGGGTGTATTAGGAAATCACAGGTCTGCTCGTTCTCGCTTCTGCTGTCCTGGGTGCCCCAGGCGCTGCCTGAGTGGTGGGGTGGGACCACGTGGTGGTTAGCGTGGCCACGGCGTGGCCTGACCGCCCACTCCCTGCAGGCGTCCCCAGCATGCAGGACATGCACAGCAGCCCCAGGGATCCTCGCATATCTCTGGGGCCTCAGGCGGCCCCCACCTCAGGTGAGAAGCTCAGTGGAAGCCCCCAACACAGGGCCCTGGAGATGGAGGTTGGGGGGGGGTAGGTGGTTTAGGGGGGCTGGGGAGAGGTAGGTCTGGTGTGGACATAGATGGAGAGGTGTCCAGGCGGACACCTCATGTGTCTTCTGCTTCCTCTTCTTTCTAGATTCCAGAGGCCAGTGGTGGGCCCGTCAAGAGCAGCCCTCGGCCCAAGGAAACCCCACAGGAGCCCAGGGCCTCCACCTGCCAGCCCCAGCCCCCTCTTTTCAGCAATCCCCACACAGACAGTCTGGCTTGGCACCCCACGACTGCAGACTCAGCCCCTATGGGTGCTGTCCTGATGGCCACACTGTATCTCTTGGGCCACAGTGGCAGGGCTGTCCTGGGGCCTCATGTCAGCAGAGCAGGTAGGTGCCTCTTCCTCTTCACCAAGTCAAAGAAGGGAGATGGGGCCGGGGGATGGTATCTGATGGGCAGGGCAGCGACTCCGAGCAGAGAGGGGGTGGGGTTTGCAGAGCTCAGAGATGGGACTTCCGAGGTTGTTATCTCCCAGCTGCCCTGATTGTGCAGTCTTGGGGACTCTGCTTCCTGTCACTACCTTCCTAATGTGCAGAGTGGGGGTAAGAATTTCCGCTTTCGCTACCGAAGTCAGCCCGTTGAGGTGTAGCCTGAGGCTCTGGGAAGGCACGTGGGATAGAATTCTAGCTTCCAGATCCAAACCAGGCTACCGGTCTCTCCGGGGCTGGGGCGCTGAGAGCCCAGACTTTGGGGCCAGCAGCCCGGTGGCGATCTATCCGCTGTGTGCTGCGTGATCAGGGCAAGTTATTCCTTTGGTCTTGGCTTCCTCTGTGAGACTGGGAACAGTGACAGCCACAGGCCGGGTTGCCGTGAGGATGGAACCATCCCAGGGTGCCTGGCACACGGAAGGAGCTCTGATGTGTTCCTCTTTCCCCTTCCTTCCCGTCTTGTGGTTGACAGAGCTGAAACAGGAGGAGGGCTCTGCTCACCCCTCTTTTCCCCATCCCCCATCTACTGCGATTTTGTAAAACCTACCCGGGAAGCCAAGATTTGTGCAGGCTTAGTGAATTTTCTCCTCGGTTAGGGGTTTCCGCCTTGGGTAGGAGTTGAGGAACCGTCAGGTATCAGGAGACACGGCCCTGCTTATCGTGTTACTGCTGTGTCCCTGGCTGCCACTGAGTGGTTGGTGGATGTGGCTTGGCATGCAGAATGGTATGCCCCACGTGGAAGGACATGGTGTCTTCCGTTCGGATCCTCAACTGCTCAGCTCCCAGCATAGGGAGCCTCAGAGCCCAGTTTCCAGGATGCTGGAAGCTCGGGGGATCCCGTGAGGGTGGGGATCAGGGGTTGGGTGGTGACGAGACTGCTGTGTGATGTTTGTCTAGGTACGGGTGCTGCCCTGATGGGGTGTCTGTGGCTGAGGGGCCCCATCAAGCTGGCTGTGCAGCATCTTACAGCAGTGATAAGACCGGGAGAAGGCCGGTGTCGAGAGCAGTGGCTTCCACAGTAAGTGTCTGGTTCACATGAGTGGGCAGGAGTCCCGCACCTGTTCAGCGCCACTGTGATCCAGACTCTCTGCACTTGGGCTTCAGATACGGGCCTAGGCTGGAGTGGGGGTGTGTGTGTGTGCAGGGGGGTCCATCTGACCTTCCCCTGAGGCTGAGGTACTGCAATTCTGTCCCTCCCTCTTCCTGTCCTCCTTCCCCAGGCAGCCTAGAGTCCCCACCAAGAGCCAGACCTATTCCCAACTTTCCCAGTCTGGGTTTCCTCCGCAGGCTCCCAAGGCCCACCAGCCCCAGGCTCAGCAGAAGGAGCCCAGTGAGTGCCAGGGCTCCCGGTTTGGCTGTTGCTATGATAATGTGGCCTCTGCTGCTGGTCCTCTTGGGGAAGGCTGTGTGGGCCAGCCCGGCTATGGTGAGTGGATGCCCCTTCATCCTTCCTGGTGAGTAGGCTGTGGTCCCGCTTTGCCCTCCTTAACCACCACAGAGCCCCACCCAGATCTTCCTACCAGCTCAGTTATTCATTCATTTCTTTGACAAATATTTACTGATCACCTGCTAGGTGCCAGGTCAGAGAACAGTGCCATATTGTTCTTGTTTCCAACAGTTTGCATTTGAAACCATCTGACTGCTTGTGGGAGTTGGGGAGAATTGTAGGCAGGGCGCCCACAGACAAGGAAGGCTTGTCACAGACAAGGAAGGCTTGTCCTGCCCTGCCCCCACCATGGGGGCTCAGCCCCTTCCAGAGGCAGAGATGGTATAGGGTGGTCAGAGCCCAGATGGACAGGGATGTCCCCACCCTGCCTGGGATGAGTCCTAGAGGGAGGTCATTGAGACTGGAGTATGGGATATGTGGGTGGCACCGGCAGGGACCCTCATGGGGACCTCAAAAGCCAGATGGGCTGGTGGTCAGAGTCTGCAGGAGGCTGGTCCCTGGATGGGACCCCCGCAGGGGCCAGCCACAGTCACCTCTGTGTCTGTAGAGAGGCAGAGCAGGGCTGTGCTGGGAAGGTAGGCCATTAGAACAGGCTGGCTGGGGGCTGGAGGCGGGTCCAGAGGCTGGGCCTCTTCACAGATGTCCCTGCGAGCTGAGGGCTGGGTTCTTATCTCGAGCTAAGTACATCAAAGCCAAGCTCGGTGCGGTGCGTGTGTATTCTAGGGACCTGGGTCAGGCATGGGGAGGGGCATGAGGGAGCCAGTCCAGGTTGCTCATGGCCCTGACCTTCTGGAGCGCTCTAGTTCTGTGGGTGGAGGTGGACGGGCTGATCCCGGAGGCTGCTGGTGATCCCAGCCCAGGTAGGTCTGGGCAGTGAGCAGACTGTCCCCAGGGCCAGGTCAGGGGCCCAGACAGGGGTGTAGACCCGCTCTGTGATCTTGGGAAGAGCCTGGCTCCCACATCTGAGGCTGAGGGGGCGGTGGGCACTTCTTGGCAGAGCTCTGCCGGGGCAGTATCTGCAGCCTGATGACCTGCCCCCTCCCTGCCCCTTCCCTGCCCCCTCAGCCTACCCTGTGCGGTGCCTGCTGCCCAGTGCCCATGGCTCCTGCACGGACTGGGCCGCCCGCTGGTACTTCGTCCCCTCTGTGGGCCAGTGTAACCGCTTCTGGTATGGCGGGTGCCATGGCAACGGCAATAACTTTGCCTCCGAAGAGGAGTGCGTGAGCAGCTGCCGGGGACGTCAACAGGAGCCCCCCGGACCTGAGCCTGGGGCCTCTGGCCAGAGCACCCATAGAGACGGTGGTGGCAGCGGTCCTGGAGGCCAGCAAGAGGCCGGCGGGCACAGGACGGGGGCCACAGTCCAGACGAGGCCCTTGCCTTCTGGTGGCCTCTGGTGGCGAGACCGAGAGCCTGGGCCTGGAGAGGAGGGCCACGCCCAGGCCTTTGGAGAGAGGCCCCTGGGCCAGGAGCTTGGGCCCAGTGCCCCTGGACTGGGCGGAGATGCCGGGAGGCCAGCGGCGCCCTCCCACAGCTCTTCCTACAGGTGAGGCCTACCTTCCCCAGGTCAGGAGCTGCGCCCATTGGAGCTCAAACCCTGAAGTCCGCAGATCCTCCCGCCCCATCCCTAACCTCAAATCCTCCAAATGGTCTTGCCTGGGGAGGGGCCTTCGCCAATAGATGGTGGGTGCCTGGGTCTGATCTTGCCGGGACGCCCCGGGGCCTGTCTAGTTGGAAAAGCTTGCAGGCTTCGTGACATTTGGCAACTCATCCAACTTCTCCAAGCCTCCGTTTCTTGACCTGCAAAATGGTGATATTCTCTCTTAGATTTAGTATGGGTTCCACAGTCTTGGGACTATGTCCTATTAATGAGACTTTTGGGGAGAATAGAAACAAATAAGTAAAACTTGAAATTCCAAAGGGATCAAGCAGTGGTTTAGTTCTACACGGGAATCTGGTGTGAGCTCTCTCTCCCGACCTCTCCACGCCCTGGGCTCTGTACCTCCCTTGCTGCTGTTGCAGGACCAGGTTGAGGTAGCTACGTCCAAGGGCATGGTGGGGAGCCAGGGTGGGGGTGGAGTGAATTCCTGAGGCCACGGGCTTCTAGAGCTGGGCCTCCCAGGGGACCCTGTGACCCCAAAGGTGCCTGAGACAGGATGGGCACCGAGCTCTCTGTGGTGGGACACTGATGGAGGGGGAGTCCCTGGCCCTGGCGCTTGTGTTGTTAGTGCAGGTTCTCACCCCCACTTCCCAGGATCAGCTTGGCAGGCTCAGAGCCAGCCCTGGTGCAGGCAGCCCTGGGGCACTTAGTGCGCCTCTTCTGTCAAGACGACACCTCCCCGGAGCCCCATGCCAGGTGGCAGAAAGATGGGCGGCCCATCTCCTCTGACAGGTGATCTCCCCTGGGATGGGAGGGTGCAGGCAGGGTTATGGTAGGAGCACTCTGGTAGGAGCACTGGGGCCTGAGAGGGCCTGGGCTCACTGTCCTCCTCATTCAGGCACAAGCTGCAGCCCGATGGCTCCCTGGTCATCAGTCCCCTGCGGGCAGAGGACACTGGCACCTACAGCTGTGGCAGCAGCAGGCCAGGCCGTGACTCTCAGAAGATCCAGCTTCGTGTCACAGGTCTCTGTCCCCACCCCACGCCCAGCGGATTGTCATGGCCCCAGGTGGGAGGCGCTGGCTGGGAGGGCCTGAGCCAGGGTGCTCCCACGCTGGAGGGGCCCCTTCTGCTGGCAGGGACCACGTGCTCCAGTTGGGCCAAGGTGGATGTCTTCCCCCTTGTGACCCTCATTTTTCCACATGTCCCTGGCCAGCCTCGTGGCCCTTCCTTCCTTCCACTGCATTCCCCCCACAGCTCACCCCTTCTCCTGGCCTCATGACAGGGGGTGACGTGGCCGTGCTGTCTGAGGCTGAGCCAAGGCACTTCCCTCAGACCAGGGACCCAGCCCAGGGCCACAGTCCTCGGGAGTCCAGCCTAGTGGGGAACGCGGGGGGCCTGGGGGCTGTCTCCTCCTTGCAGATTCGGCCCACGACCAGGTAACAGTGCAGCAACGCCATTCTGCTCTCAGCCTACCCCACTGGAGGGCCAGGGCCGATGGGGGCCCCAGTGGTGAAAGGAAGGGAGAGTGGGTGGGGTCACAGGGCTCTGCCGGGCAAGGACTAGGGAGGTGGAAAGGGAGCCCTCTTCCCTTCCCCAAACAGTTGAGACTGGCCCATGGCCCAGGGCACAGGAGCTGAGGGAAGGGAAGCAGAGCAGGAGCTGGAGAGCCTGAGATGGCCTTGATGGGAGTTTATAGAGGGGTTGCAGAAGGCTGGAGGGGCCCAAGTCAAAGTGCCTTGTGCAGGGCAGATGTGCAGGATCTCAAAGCAGATGTGCAGGGCAGGGAGCAGACAGTCGAGATTCTGGGGTGGTGGTTGGGGGTGGGGAAAGCGAGAAAGCTGGAGGTGGCTTTTAGACTGCCCCGGGTAGTTATTGGTGATGTCCTGACCAGCACAGAGCAGCTTTCTTAGGAAGCTGAATGTGGCTGGAGAGGGAGAAGGGGGTCAGATGCTTGTGCAGAGTCCCCCCTCTCATGGCTGTGGGGTGCTTGTTCTGCAGGCTGCTTCTGGACAGGAACCAGCCTAGGGTGGTGGACGCCCATCCAGGTCAGCGGATCTGGTTGACCTGTCGTGCTGAGGGCTTCCCACCCCCAGCCATTGAGTGGCAAAGAGATGGGCAGCCCCTCTCTTCCCCCAGGTTTGTTCAGCTCCTCTCTTCCCCTTCCTGTCCCGCCTTTAGCCCCTGACCCTGTCCAGGCCTGAGGGGAGGGAGCTGCCAGGTGCCACCTCTGGTCAGTCCTGAGCAGGACTCCAGGGGCTCTTGAGAGAGGATACCGCTGGGGGTAGGGCTCCTTGGGCAGACCAACATTTGGGTTTCTGGGTCTTTCCACTGTGGTTAGTGGACAGAAGTAACAGGCTAGCTAAGAAGAGGTGATGGCTGAGGGACAAAATGGAGGCAGACCCATTTCTGGCTGTAACCATAACAGCATGGGCATGTATCGTGCCCATTAGGAGTATGAGGCTTGTTCTCTATCATACAGTCTTCAGGAGAGCCATGTGGAGGTAGGTGCTATTTTATCCCCATTTTACACACAGGAGTTTAACACGCCTTACAGCTCCTAAGTGGCAGAACCAAGATTTGAGTCTACTGAATGAGCACAGCAAGAACTAGAAACCCAAACCAGAATTATTTTGTAATTGGAGATTGGAAATGGTTTATTGCCAGGCTTAAAAGTCAGGTACCTTCAGGTAAACGAGAGAGCTCAGCATCTGGAGGACCTCAGGGCCTAAGGTTAGATTTGCTCAGACCCTACTGAAAGGGCCACTCAGCCTCTTATGGGGAAAGGAAGACCCTGCCCCACCCCCATTTCTTCCAGCCCCTTGGGGGAGGAGCTACCTGACTGTGCTTTGTCTCTAGACACCAGCTGCAGCCCGATGGCTCTCTGGTCATCAGCCACGTGGCTCTGGAAGATGGTGGCTTCTATGCCTGTGTCGCTTTCAACGGGCAGGACCGAGACCAGAGATGGGTCCAGCTCAGAGTTCTGGGTGAGGTGGCAGTCCTGAGGGTCAGGTGGCACAGGTGGGGCAGGACTGGTGTGGTGGCTGACAATGCCTCCTCCTTGCCCTAGGGGAGCTGGCCATCACAGAGCTGCCCTCTACTATGCTGGTGCCAGAGGGTGACACGGCCAGGCTGCTATGCGTGGTGACAGGAGAAAGTGTAAACATCAGGTGGTCCAGGTAAGGCTCTATTCCAGGCAGGCCTGGCCCTCAGAGGCTTGTAGTTTGGAGAAGACACTCACCTTTCTGCAGCGATACTGCTGTTCCCACTGCCCGCAGCCTTCATTCTTCAACTCCTACCCGCAGGCCTGGTGGCAGCTCCCCCTTCCCTACACAGCGGGGCCCCACAGGACTGCTCTCTTTCTTTTGGTTGGGCTACACCAGGGTCTCTCAACCTCGGCACTCTTGACATTTCAGACCTGATAACTTTTGGTGGTTGGGGCAGTTCTGTGTATTGTAGGGTGTTCAGCAGCATCCAGGCCACCCACCCACTAGATGCCAGTAGTACTTCTTCCCAAGTCATGACAGTTGACAGTATCTGGAGATGGGGGTAGAGAACCACTGGGTATACTCAGCTGTGGGGACTTCAATGTCGTTTACACCAGATCAGTTGCTCTTTTATTCGTTCATTCCTTCTTTCAGCAACTTTTTTTTTTGGCCCCCTTCCTCCTTGCAGTGTGTCAGCAATAGCCTAGGCTCTGGGGGTCTTGGGGGTAATCTGAGCCCCCCAGATACTCCCCAGGCAGGAGATAGCCCTGTGTCCCCTGAGCTCTAGAGGTCTGCCATCAGTGCTATCTGTGCACAGAGCGCTGAGGCTGCCTTCTATCTGGGGGAATCAAGGGGTGGCAATGCAGGTGACTTTGGCTGAGCCTTAAAGGCTGAGGAGGGGAAGGATGTTCTTGATCAAGCCTCAGAGGTGAGTACTGGAGAGATGATGTCAGGATGGGAAGGGGCCTGCACGCAGGAGGGAGGCAGGGAGCCTCCGTAGGCTTTTCAGCAGTTGTTCTTGGTGCAGGCCTACCTTGATCAGGTCAGGCCTCTGATTATCCTTTCAAGCTTCTGTCTTCAATTTTGCTTCTCCTTGATCTTACCAGCAGCAAACATGCTCAGGAGCCCCCGCTTTCAAAGCATAACATAAAAGATACCCTCCTCTGACCCTGTATTTCCCTGCAGACCCTGGCCTCATCTGGAGTCTCCCCCTCACAGTATGGCTGTTCATACTGGGGGTCTCCACCTGTTCACCCCCTACTCACAGCTCAGTCCTTGCACAGGGGCTCACATCCACCCACCACTCCAGGATACTGACCTGTTCCTAAACGTTCTGGACGTGATCTCAGTCCCCACATGACCTGAGAGGTGTTCTTCTGCTGACCATTTGCACCTCCTGACATGCTCCCTCCTCTTGGCTCCAGGAAACTACTGTTTTCTGGTGTTCTTCCTTCTCTGGCTGCTGCTTCTGTTTTCCTGGCTGGTTTACCTTTTCACACCAATGTCTCGGAGGCGGATGCACCTCAGGGTCTGTCCTTGGTCCTTGGCTTGTCTAACTTCACCTTGGGCAACCTTGTTGACACGTGGTTTCCAGGGCCACCCAGTGCTGATAGACTATCTGGGTCCAGACCTCAAATCCAATGCCTCTTTGTATCTCATGGGCACCCAGAATGCCAAATGGTGGAAAAGAACACTCACCGTTGACCTGTCCTCCCCACCCTGGATCTCCCCATGGTGGAGGGGCACCGCCATTACCCAGCAACCCTGAGTAACCACTGTGGTCCTTCATTTCTCCTCCCTTACCTTGCACATCCTCCCCTTACCCATGTGTGCACTTCTGTAGGAGTTACTTTCCTGCTCTCTGCTTTCAGGCTTGTCTTAGGCCCAGTCATCCAAGGGCAGATACTCTGTCAGTCCTGCTTAGTTCACACTCTTCCATTCCCCCCAGGGTCCAGTCCAAACTCCCATTGAGGCCTTGTCCACTTCTCTCCCTGCTCTGACCATGGCCTCTGCCTTCCAGCTCCCAAGTCCCTTTGTTCTTCCGTTGCCTGGCCAGCTGCTCCTCCTCATTCTCAAGTCGGGTCTCAGCTCTGTCTTCCTCAGGGAGGGTGCCCCTAAACACCTACCCCAGTACCCTCAAGGCAGAGAGCGGTTACGTCGCTTGCCCAGCACAGGGCCCGGCATCACACAGCTGCTGGAAAGACTGTTGTTGATAAAAAGTGAGAGTGGGGCTTCCCTTGTGGGTAAGAGGCAAATTCATGGTAATTTAGACCAGTGTGCTCAGTTGGGATGAGTTCCCTCTACTTTTGAGTTATTTTGCTCTGATAGTGTTCTTTTTGGCACCTGGCCCATCTCTTTCTTGAAGTGAGGGTCCTCTGTCCACAGTGATTACCTCCTCCCTTTGTCTCTGGGCTCTGGGGCGCTGGGAGTGGCAGCATGGCCTCCTAGGGCCTCAAGACCAGAGGCCGTGGACGGCTCTCCCAGTGTCCTGTCCCCTTCAGGAATGGGCTGCCGGTGCGGGCCGACGGGCATCGAGTCTACCAGTCCCCAGATGGCACACTGCTGATCCACAACCTGCAGCCCAGAGACGAGGGCTCCTACACGTGCAGTGCCTACCGTGGAAGCCAGGCAGTCAGCCGCAGCACGGAGGTGAAGGTGGGCCCGCCGGGTAAGAGGCCCACCCCAGGGACTCACTTGTTCCCAAAAGCCGGCTTTGTGCTGCGCAGGTCTGAGTGACTCTAGTCTGAGTCCTGGCTCACTCTGCCGGTTCCTGGTAGTGTCACCTGTGGCAAGGGGCTCTCCTGAGCCTCCCTCTTCTCACATATACAGAGGGCTATTCCACCACCTGAGAGGGCTGCGGCGAGGTGAGGGAAATAATGCAGATGATGGGCATCTGGTAATAGCTTAATAGATGACGTTAAATATTTAGATTTACTGATCTTGAGAAGTAGGATATGTAATACTTAAGGCAGACCATTAAGTCTGTCCATTCTAATTAGGGTGGCAAAAAGTGCTCCTATGATTGAGAAGTGCCTTCGTGGCCCTTTGACCATATAACTCAGAAAGGGAAGGGCAACTATTAGTATCGTCATCTTACAAATGAGACAGATATCCAGAGACCTTACGTGATGTCTCCACAAGTCACACGGCAAATTAGTGGCCCAGTTGGGACTACAACCTAGTCCTCATATTTAATTTTCTTTTCCCTAAAGTATCACACCTGTTACTGGGCAGTTTGATATTTTAGTTTTATATTCTCTAGCTCTTGCTCTGAGTTACATTTCAATAAACCTAAGCACCATATCACAAAACAATTAGTTTCATACCACTAAGAAAAACATGCTGTTAAAGACACAGTGCTAAGAGACCATCAATTCAGATGCAGTCTAATTTCAGAGGTGTTAATTTGGAGATGCACTTATTTTCACACTTTGAGAAGATGGATTCATAAGAGCCCTATATTCAAATAAGCCAGAGGGAAGGGGGCAGAGGAGGCTCTGCCCTGTGCCCAGCCTGCCCTTCCACGTGTCCTTGGTCTGGGTTCATGGATTGCCTGGACAGCAGGGCAGTGCCCCAGGCTGAGCCACCAGTTCTCAGGAGGCCTCCAGCAGGCTTGGGGGAAAGGTGCCAGGGCCTTTCCTGTCCGCCTGGACGTTCACAGCAATCAGGGCTGCAGCACTGCACCAAGAGTGTTGTTTTAGCAAGGGCTGTCAGGCCTGGCTGCCGCCTGTCTGCTACGCCGAAGGTGGGAATTGGCCAGTGCTAGAGGATGAAGGTCTGGGGTAGAAATGCTGCTTAGTGGATCAGACTGACATGTAGGCTTCCAGTTTGTGAGCTCCTTAGGACAGCCACTGGGATTCGAGTCCTTAGGCCCCCAGGTCAGTGCCTGGCATCACTAGGTGCTCAGGCTTGGTGACTGAGTGCATGAAGGCATTACTTTGGCAAAAACACTGTGCTGCAGGGGCCGCTTCTCATCTCTACTGTGCCCAGCATACTGATCTCTTGTCTACATACCAACCAAACTTAACAAGACTCTAGATAAACCAGAATGCGGATTTATGTGAGAAAAAGAGCTGTCAGAGGAGCCAGGTGTTCATGTTTGTGATTAATTGTAGATCTGTCTACAGGAGAAGCCGAATTATAATCAGAACCTTGTTTGAGGGCAAAGTCTGGTGGGGCTCCTGCTGATGTGTGGTTGTAAGCTGAAATGGTCTGGCATGATGGGCCTCCAGGACAGGACAGGAGCCGTCGGAGTCAGGCTCCTGCCCTCTGCTGGAAGAGTGTTGCTAATCTTAGATATTTTGTGGGCACCTTTCATGCTTAGAAGCGGTCTCTCCTTTGTATTCATTCTGATTAGGCTGCAGACTTCTGCTCTCACCTGTTTATGCTTTTTGTAGGGTCTCACTGCTTGAGGCTGCCTCATGCCTCACTCTGCCCTATTCATGGTCTGGTGGCATACTGCAATTAACGGTAGCATCAGAGTAGGGGGTCTTGACCTAGTCTTGCTCTGGTGTAAGGGACATACTTCTTTTGAGGACCTCTCAACCTTCTTGCCTAAAAGACTTGCCTAAAACACTGTAAGGATAGAACATAGGGCATCACTCACTTTTTTGAATGAGAGGGAATGAGGCTATGGAACAAAACACGGGTAAGCACTCAAATTTTAGCCACAGTTACTGTGTGCCCAAGGTGCTATTATCATCTCCATTTCAGATGAGGAAACACAGGCAGAGAGCTTAAGTAACTTGCCCAAAGTCACCCAGCTGGGGAATAGGAGAGCCAGGATTGTGCTCAGGCCTTCTGGCTCCAGAGCTGGTGTGCTTAACCATCATGTGGGACCCCAAACCTCTGGGCCCTGTGATAGGCCCCCGGGCTGCAACTGCTCAGAGAAAGTTGATGCCAGAGTGACAGATTTCTTAATATGTACGAATGGTTTGCTATTTATGTAAATGTAGGTACAGTTGATGCTTGAGCAACACAGGGATTGACGTGCCAATACTCTTTGCAAAAATCTGGGTATAATTTTGACTCTCCAAAAATTTTACTAATAGCCTGTTGATCAAAGCCTTACTGATAACACATATTGTATATGTATTATATAGTGTATTACAACAAAGAGAAATTGTTGAGAAAATCAAAGGAAATACAGTACTGTATACAGTATTCATTAAAAAAAAAATGTGGACCCATGCAGTTCAAACCCAAGTTGTTCAAGGGTCATCTGTAGTTTGTATTCTTATTATACTGATATACCAAAAGTCATTCACTACTCAGATACAGTCTGTTAGTTGTATTTTTGGGAGGAAGCAAGGGGAGAGAGAAAGATTAAGCCTATGAGGTCTGACTTTAGGGAAGGTGTCACTCTGGCTTAAGCCAAAAGCCCCGTCCAGAAGGGAAAGGGAAGTTAACTAGGTAAGGCCACTTCAGTCCTATAAGGAAGAAGCAGAATGAAACACAGGGGTTGTTTTTTCAATAGTCCTGTTTATTTTTAAAGTAGTCTCCATGCCTAACGTGGGGCTGGAACTCATGACCCCAAGATAGGTAGTTGTGTGCTGTACCAACTGAGCCAGCCAGGCGCTTTTTTTTTTTTTTTTTTAATTTCTATGTCCAACGTGGGCTCAAACTCCTGACCCAGTTATTAAGAGTCACATGCTCTACTGACTGAGCCAGCCAGGTGCCCTTCTCACAAGGATTTTTAAGATACAGAAGACCCTGGCACATTTGGCGGTGGGTGGGGGTGGGGGTGGCAACCAGCATTTTTGTGCTCAGTGCAGTATTAGAGCCATAGTTCACAAGGCTGTTCTAATCACTTTGCCTAATACTTGCTCTCTCTGGGGGGCGGGGGAGTGTGGGAAAATTGGGAAGATGGGGAATGAAGCGACTGAGACGCACTGGGGCTACTGAAGGCACAACACATTAAATCAGCAATGAGAGGACAGCTCTTGCCAACTCAGAATTTTACTTAGCTTGATCCTACTCCCTTCCCAGTCCAGGGGCTAAGGCAGCTGTCATTCAGCTCTTCAGGTCACAATTGCAAGGGTAGGAGTTAACTTCAGGAGATGTTTAATCATCCGGTCAGTCACTATTTGGGAGTCTGCATTGGGCTGAGTTTGCAGGACAACCGGAGGACCACTGCATGCCTAAATGAGGCCCATGGCGGGGGGTGGGGAGGCACTGTAGACACACGTGTTAAAAGGTTCCAGAATAACTGTACTTTTTGGGAATCTGGCAGATCTAGTGTTGCTTTCCTTTAAGGCAAAGAAAGAATAGGTGGGACTTTTCAGCGTACACAGCTTCCTTAACCACTTTCTCTCCCTTATTTCACAGCACTGGCAGCCCAGTCCAGGGACCTCAGCAGGGCGTGTATGGATCAGCCTGAGCTGGCCAACTGTGATTTGATCCTGCAGGCCCAGCTCTGTGGCAACGAGTATTACTCCAGCTTCTGCTGTGCTAGCTGTTCCCGCTTCCAGCCTCACGCTCGGCCTGTCTGGCAGCAGGGATGAAGGCGAGCTCCAGCCCCAGTCCTGAAGCAAGTCTCAGGCTGCTGTCTCTAGCTGGCAAAGGGAGCGATCTTCTAGAGAATGGGCTCTTTCAGCCCCCGACCCCCT